ATATATAACTATATATAACTTTGCTTTTGAGACGAAATACACATAAGAAAATTATTTTATATTCTTCTACGTTTCTTTGTTGATGTAGGATTTGATGAAGCATCGTTAATTCTTTGTCGTATAGCATTAACAGTAGAAGATAGCGACTAAAAAATAAAAATAAAAAATGGTTGTTTAACGTAGAAGGAAAATGACATAAGAAAAAATGATTAATCTAAAATAATTACATTTGAATCGATATGTGGTTGATAAGATGTAGAAGTCAAACTTGTTGAAAATGAAGTTGGATATCCAACTCCAGGTATCGGCGGTTCATGACTAAAGTAAATAAATTTGTCGATATTATATAATTTATAATTATTACTTCTAAATAACTATTTAAATCACTTACGATTGAATTGAATAATTATAATAGGTAGATAAATCTTCTTGAGGATACATAACTGGAACCGGATGTGACGGTGCATCATTCGATTGTATTGGCCGCGTTTTTTGAAATTTTGTTAAAGTATTCTCATCTGCAATTTTAATTAATTGATGATTAATCGATCAAATATTTTTGCATCAAAAAATAAAATTTTTATTTTTTTACCTTTCTTTTCATTAGTTTTAATAGAAATTACATGACGTCTATCTATTAATTTTTGTCTTGTATCTACAATAGTTTCATACTCTGGACCATAACGTACTCTTAGATTCGAACTAAAGAAGATGTGATCATCAACCTTCCTTTTTGCTGCTCTAAATATTAGGAATGTATATTATAAGAGTCGGATATTTAGACGATCGGGATAATATTTATTATATATACCTTGCTTGAGGAAGTGATTGAAATTTTATCCAATAAACATCAGTGAATTCTTCACATGGATAATCATCAAGGCATCGATATCTAAACAATTAAATTTTTTTTAGGATTTTATCGAGTATATTATGAATCAGAATTAATTTGACTTACTCTTCTATGGTCCCATAAAGTGCAAATAATTCGAGAAGTTCTTTGGTTAAGCCAAGTGCAGGAACGTTTTCAACAACCAAATACCTTTAAGAAGGTTCGTTAGAAAGTAGAAAGGAA